CCCTCCCCCCTCATGCTCTCTCTCTCAAATAAATAAATAAAACCTTTAAAAAAAAAAAAAATGAAGATGAGTGTGTGCCTTTCACTGGTTTCCAGGAAGGCATAAGTACAGATCATTTGTAGCTGTATGAAGTTTGAGGTTAGGATTGTAGTGGCATTGGGTTAAATGGGGAGGATGGTGCTAGCAAAATGGTAATTTTGATGACTTTATTTGGTGACATTGTGATTTGGATGAGAAAATTCTGTCCTTTCCTAAGTCATTAAAATGATTTAATTAAAGACACAAACCTTGTAAATAGTTTTGGATACTAGGGGATTTATTTATATTGTCTCTCATTTTCTCCTCATCTCTCTTTTTTTTTCTGCCCATTGTAGTTTTGTAGTGGGAGAATACATGGTAGACAATTGCATTTCTAAAGGGAGTCACACTCATTATATGGACACCAGTTTTTTAAAACATGAAGAAATTGCAACCACCTATTACTGTTCAGTGGTAGGCCTTAAACATATGAAGCAGAAAAGGATAACTGACCTAATATTGATTTCATGAATTTTTCTGTTCTCTTATTTGGGGGGCAAGGGGCAGCATGGTGGTAATAGCTCTGGGGTGTCTGGGGTGTCATAGTAGTTAACTAAAGCCAAGGATTGCTTCCCTTGGAAGGAGGATGCACATGCCAAGAGAATTGTACACAGTGGTTGGCAAACACAGGAAGGGGATAAATGACAAAGGAAAACATAGGCCCTGTGAGGTTAGAGGCAAAACAAGCTGGCTTAGTCCTGTTGCTTCTGAGCAGGGGCAAGGAGTGTATTTCTTTTCTCATCTCTTGAGTTTATTTAAATTATCTGTTGGTTTGGGGGTGGAAAGAAAGTATGATGTTATAAGGCTGATTAATATTAAGATGCAAACATGCAGATTATATCCAGCTCCTGACACTCCTTTTCACTCCAGTTTAGAAACCGAAGACTATAAAAGAAACCTGTTCTAAGGGAAGGAAGGAGAGAAAGCAAAAGACATTTCCCTACTTTTTAACGAGAGGTGTTTTTGGAATATATATTATTTTTGGATTTTTGGTGTCCATGCCACCCTAACAGATCATCTAAAGTAGCTCCTGGGGGCGCCTGGGTGGCTCAGTCATTAAGTGTCTGGATTTGGCTCAGGTCAGGATCCCAGGGTCCTGGGATCGAGCCCCACATCGTTCTCCCTGCTCAGCGGGAAGCCTGCTTCTCCCTCTCCCACGCCCCCTGCTTGTGTTCCCTCTCTTGCTGTGTCTCTGTCAAATAAATAAATAAAATCTTTAAAAATAAATAAATAAAGTAGCTCCTGGCTGAAAACTGCCAGGGGGTTTGAACTAGGGGTGGGTTGCATTGGGCAGGGGTATTCAGGGTGCTGTTGTCATTAATTTTGCCAAAAGAGCCTCATCAGAGACCAATTCTCCCCTCCTTGGTGGGTGGCATCGAGCCTTGGAGAGGGCCTCCACGCAGATTTCAGCCTTGCCCCCTCCTCCAACCCTTTTGCCTTCTGCTCCTGCAGTGGGACTTCTCTCTCTCTTCCCCTTTTTTTCAATTAAATGAATTAATTACCAGGCATTTAACTTTTTGCCAGACTCTTTCATTATGCCCAGAGTTGTTGCTGAGCGGCAAAGGGAAGTAATAACATTCGCAGTGAGGGGCAAATCCTGTTAATGAACAAATTAAAGTTCAAACAGTGATTCAAGTTCACAACCTCTCCGTGGCTCTTCTCTTTAATAAGAGTTATACATGTTACTTTCCTGCTCTTTTCTCCCTTTTATTACTTTTTAAGCTTTTCATCAGCACTGCCGGGGCATATTTGAGGCTCCCAGCCTTTCAGCCCTGACAAGGACTGGAGCAGTTATAATCCCATCTTAATTTGGCAACTTTTGTAAAACACATAAAGGGCCCAGGGCCACCTTTGGTCACCAGGACCGGGTGACCATATAGCTTCCACCTCCTGCCAGGGTTCTGTGGGTTGCTCCTCTCCCTCTGCATTCCTCTCCCTACACATTGCTCCTCTCCCTAGGAATTCCTCCAGCTGTCAGGATCTGATCACTCACCTTCCTGCCCCCCAGGCACCTCTTTGCTGAGCGAATGAGACACAACTGTCTGAGCCCTTGCCCTTCTGTGTTCCTTCTCCTATCATCCTCTCCACCTGCCTGGTTGCAGCGCTAGGGAGAAGGGGACTCTGTGAGAAAAGGGAGGAGTCTCCAGACTAAGAGCTGGGAACCTTTATGGGGAAAGGAGTTTGAGGTAGGAAGGAAGCCTGATCCCCTCCTGACTACCATTATTACCAAGTGCTACTAGCTTCACTTGGGGGACCATGTCTGCCGAGGCACTGAAAGGCCCAGCCTCATTGGCCCAAACCAGAGCAAGGCAGGCGCCTGGGTGGGAAGGAGCCCAGGAAGCGTCGGGTGCCCGCCTACTTCTCTTCCCTCTTTTTTTCCCTCCCCATACTGTGGATTGCGTGGGGGTCTTTTCCATCTCCGTGCCTGGCTTCTCACCACCATCTTCTGAGCGTGGTGGCTTGATATAATCACCATGACAACTGCAATCTACGAGCATACACATAATAGAGATGAAATAGACAAAAGATTAGCATGCCATGAAAAGTACAATAAGTTTCTTATTTAGCATTTAGATAACTGTCTTTCCTTCGGAGCAAGCTTCAAAGTTGAAGCCAGTTTAGACCAAGAGGATTAATTCTTTCTCCCGCATGCTTCATTGAATCTCTCATTACCAAACTTTGTCTGTATTGATGTAAGATTTGATTGAAGATTAGAGCATTTAGCAAATCTTGCTTTTCTGCATGTATCAGGTCCTTTCAAGCACGGATCGCAGTGCCCAGTGGTCAATACCCTTACTTTTATCCAGTGTCTGCTTCATTTAAACTTAATCAACTCCATCAACGAACTGGAACAGGGAAACGTCCCTGCGGTAAGAATGTTGTGCTTTTGTGGGATAATTCTTTGCTCTTTCCCGATCCGTTGCCATTAAACCTAAAATTGCACTATGATGAACTTTTTTTTTTTTTAATCAATATGATAATGACAATTGGGCCTGAACACTCTGGTAGGACCTAGACTACAACTGAATCTGGCTTCCATCACCAAAACAACTTCTGGTCCTAGGATAGTCTGCCTCCTTTTGTGTGGCTTTAATACCTTTTCTTCCCTGACATTGAATATTGCTCAAGCTGGAAAATGATGCATCTTTGTAGGGAAGGCTCATATGTCACAGCCAGAAAGTGAAGCAGACCGATTGGTTGTGTGAATTATCTGACTTGCTGCAGTGAATTATTTGCACTGTTTCCCTACCTAGTCAACAAGTTCCTGAGGTATAGTAGAGATCAATCAAAACTGACAGCCCGCATGTGAAGGCTTTACTGTGTAAATCTGGCGCGCTCATCCTGGCCATGCCAGCCCTGGCATCTGTATATCATTTTTATACTGCTACCAGTAGAGCAATTTCAAAAGTATTTGCAAGGAAAATGCGTGTCCCCATCTGTTCCTAGAAGCATAAATGTGCCACCTTCAGAGGATTTTCACTGGTAATCATATCTTTAATGATCAACAGACTGGTGATATATATTTTTCCATAAAATGGGGTTTTCTTCACTTTATTGTGATTGGCTAGAATAAATAGCTTTTCCATATGTTAGGGAGATAAAATATAAGATTAGCAGAGGTCGTTTGTTGGATAGTAAACAAAAGAAACAATTCATTCCAAATAATCTTTGAAAAGAAGCAATAACAAAATTAAGTTGCAGTAACAGAGCATCTGAGGCCCCACATCAGAAAACAGACCTTGTTCCTCCTTGGAAAAGGAGCCGTTTAAGAGTAGAAAGTTAGAGACTTCTAGAGGACTCTGGTGGCTTATTTTCATGAGGCAGGGGAGGAAAGGAGCAGGGTAAGAAGGAGAGGCTAGAATAATCCTTATTTGTTCTACTTCTAAGGTCATATTTCCTATCCCTTTATTTTAAAAATTTATTTCTCAAATTCCCTTCCCTTTATTTTACCTGCTATTTTCCCGTCTTCACTACAGCACCCTCGGTAAGTTGGTGGGTGGTGTGTTCAGAAAGTAGGAAATGCCAACCCTGCTGTATTTCTCTTCAGGCCTACAAGGAGATGGGGACTTTTCATGTGCTTAAAAAATCAAAAGGCTGGCTCCCTCCCTGGTAGATTTATCTTCTCGCATAGAAAAGGGTGACTTTGGAGAGCCAGGCACAGTACCTGCCTTTAAGTGAAATTCCAGAGCCATGCAGAAGGTACCTGAAGATAGCCAAGACCCACCAGAGAACCCCCAGGAAGTGTCCTTAGCAATCTAATTCCACCTGTATAGGTTACAGTCCAAAGATACAACCAGGCCCTGATCTGCTTCCCCCCACACCCCCATGCATGTATTTACACTCAGCACCCAAGAGGTCCTCCCTTTTCAAATGCAGACACTCTTAGTTCTGTAGACAGTTAGCTCTTGGGGAAATTTGGAAACAACTTCTCCAGGATCTCTGTGTAGAGGTTTCCACTGCCTGCTCAGGAATCTCCAATTCTGTTTTGTTTCCAGGGTTGGGAATCTCCTGTTCCACAAAGGACTGACAGTTGTAAGATGCCTGAATCTGTCTAAACAATGTCTTCAGCCTTCAGGCTCTCCAGAAAATAGGTGTAGAGCTATTCAGACCTGTTTTCTATAAGTCAAGAATTGAGAATGAGAAGTTGGTGTGGGGGGTTTCCCTCTAAACATTGAAAATAAGACCAGTAGTAGGTTAAGTGTTGATTCTTTATTGTTATTTTTCCCCCCTTGGGATAGTGGGGGGAAAACTCCGTCTTTTCTGTATATGTTACCCACTCCATCCCCATAGTCCATAGAAATTTTTTTGCTCTTTCTGAATGCCTACTGCTCTCACTGCAGCAGGAATGTATGGGTATTAGTTTGAAAATTGGAAATGTGGTCTTTAGGCTGGTCCCACGCAGAAAGTCTACTAGCATCTTAGACCTAACTTGTGTTAACTTCCTGGCCGCAGTGAGGCTTGGGAACACTGACAGAAGTAGAAAAATAGCTTACCCAAGTCTCTGGCAAGAAGAAGATCGAAAAACCGCCATCAAAAGATTTTCTTTTAACATTTCCCTTTAATTGTAGAAACGTAATCTTGTAGGCTAGGTTGCACATAGGCAGGCATAGACTGTATAGGATTTACAGGTAGATCACATTTTGCCTGATCTGAAACCAGATTTGCTGTAGTATTGCAATTAAGACTAAAAGAAAGGGAAGTCACGCTTGTAGTTGCCACACTGTATTGTGATTACACTGCAGATCTGCAGTCTTCAATGAATTTGCTTGCCACAAGGAAATTCTGGCATGTGTTGTATATGAAACAATTTACACTCAATTCAAAAAACAATTTCCTGATTTCTGTGTATTTTAGTTTGAGACCCATTTTGTATTGAATTTTTCTATGTTGTTTTCATAAAATGAAATTAAAAAAAAAACAACTGATTTTATGTGGGAGAAATAAATGTGTAATGTTTGCTCCTTTCATTGTCCAGGAGGATGAGGCGGTTACTACTACAGGTGGGACATTTCCCACTCTTTCCTCCTGTGCCCAGGGGTACTGTCTAACGCACAGGCCTCTGCCAGGAATGTTGCTGTCCACAGCGGAGTAGAAGACCCTGCAGAGCTTACCTTTGGGGCTCATGTTGGCTGGGGCTCTGAGCCATAGAACTGCAGGCATCCAAGTTTTTCCTAAACCCTAGATTGGAGCCATTTGCAACACATAGTCCTTTGCTGCTTCAGAACCACAGACCCTCTACACATTCATATCCATAACAGAGATGGAAGTCTTGGCAACTATAGGACAAGTATTGCAAATTTTAAAAACAAACATACTGAGTTCAGGGTGAAAATTACCTGCAGCAACAATGCTGTCTCTTTCCCTGCACAGCTTCACTGCCACCAAGCAACCTCATCAGTTTAGGCTTATTTCACTGAAAATGTACTTAATTCCAGAAAAACTACTAGCTATCTATATGTAACTATTATTTGTTAGTCAATTTTATGACAACCCTCCTACCTTAGAAGAAAATATTGAACCTAAACTCTAATTCAGATATTTGAAAATGTATAATAAAGTGTTAATGTGCATATAATCTCTCATGACTGTAATATGCATAGTATTTGTTTTTTTAGATAAAAGTCAGGGTGGGCAGGCAGTGTGGTGTTTTGAAAAGAAATTCAGATTTTAAAAATAAGCTTAAGGAAATGCCTGTTTTAAGGAAAATAAACTTAACTGATCGTTAAGACAAAGTGAACTATTAAAATTTAGTGTCAATTAACAATCTTTATGCTAAATTACTGATAAAATGCCAAGGTATTTAAAGTTAACAGAAAATGAAAAATTTGGGGGAATTGAAGTTTCTTTTTTGTTCCCCCTTACTCTGAACAGCATGCTAGTAATACTTACCGTCACTCTTGGCTTTTATTAGGAATTTTCATCTCGTTCCAGAAGGAAATACCAGAAAAGCAACTTATATAGTTCATAGCCTCACTGTAAAGAACATTATTTCTAGGCAGAATTTCTACAGTCACCCTTGTCTGTGAACACTTGTTAAGGGATGTGTTTTAATTTTAGATCAGAACAACTGGGTTAAGATGTAGAGAAGACACTGAGTTTTCCCTATGGGGGAAGAGGGAGGAGAAAGGAAGCTAAATTAGTTTTACTGTTCGGCAAAAGGACTACTCCAGGCAGCAGTGTGGTAGGGAAATTTGGATATCTAAGCAGTGCTCTTCTGCCAGTCCATTTCTTTTTTTTTTTTTTTTAAGATTTTATTTATTTGCGAGAGAGACAATGAGAGACAGAGAGCATGAGAGGGAGGAGGGTCAGAGGGAGAAGCAGACTCCCTGCTGAGCAGGGAGCCCGATGTGGGACTCGATTCCGGGACTCCAGGATCATGACCTGAGCCGAAGGCAGTCGCTTAACCAACTGAGCCACCCAGGCGCCCGTGCCAGTCTTAACACTTAAACAAGAGTGTTTCTTAACACTCTTGGAGCCATTCACCTTTGGAGCAGGTTGCAGGTGGTCGCTGCGAGACCTCCGTCTCTTCCACCCCCTCGCTGTCGCCTTTTGCCCAGACTTAACGTACCTTCTTCCTGGATTCCCCTCCCCCATCCCAAC